ACACCATTCTCCAAGCACCACAGCCACTACAGCCCTCTGTAATAGTTATAGTGTCAGGGGGGATCTAGCTCTGCCCCACAGTAGGTCACACCATTCTCCAAGCCCCACAGCCACTACAGCCCTCTGTAATAGTTATAGTGTCAGGGGGGATCTGGCACTGCCCCACAGCAGGTCACACCATTCTCCAAGCACCACAGCCACTACAGCCCTCTCTAATAGTTATAGTGTCAGGGGGGATCTGGCTCTGCCCCACAGCAGGTCACAGCATTCTCCAAGCACCACAGCCACTACAGCCCTCTGTAATAGTTATAGTGTCAGGGGGGATCTGGCACTGTCCCACAGTAGGATGTCACACCATTCTCCAAGCACCACAGCCACTACAGCCCTCTTTAATAGTTATAGTGTCAGGGGGGATCTGGCACTGTCCCACAGTAGGATGTCACACCATTCTCCAAGCACCACAGCCACTACAGCCCTCTGTAATAGTTATAGTGTCAGGGGGGATCTGGCACTGTCCCACAGTAGGTCACACCATTCTCCAAGCACCACAGCCACTACAGCCCTCTGTAATAGTTATAGTGTCAGGGGGGATGTTGAGATAGTGCACGGGTAACTTTTTTTTTTCTTTGGTTTTTATCCAGTATAGGTATAGTGCAGGAATTGGCAACCTTCGGCACTCCAGATGTTGTGGACTACATCCCCCATAATGCTCTTATACACATAATGCTGGCAAAGCATCATGGTTGGTGTAGTCCAAAACAGATGCAGTGCCAAAGTTTGCCTATGCCTGATATAGTGTGTGTTATAGTTAACATACTGCTGCATGGCATTCTGGGAGTGTGGCAGAAATACATTCCCTGTAGTGTTAAGGGGGGTTCTCTTTTGATTCACATTGCGTATAAATACTTGTAATCAGATGACATAATACATTCAGATCGGTTTCATAAGAAACTGAAAAGATCTCACTGTGTTATTCCTTTCCCATTGAGAATCTATTTAGTTCTGACAATTTCTAGTTCAACGATGCTTAATTCTGGAATGACCAAGCTTTGGGTATTTCAATTACCTTTATTACAGATTTAATGTGTTAGAGCTGTTCTTCACTGCCTTGTGTAATTTCATCAATAAACATTATTGTATGAGAATCGGAATGTAACTCGTTAATCTGCCGCCAGCCCGCCGTCTCTTGCCATATGTAATGACATTTAACTTATTGTGTATTTTTGTTAATGATGTAGATTCATTAGGAAGAGCTAATATTGCGACAGTATTTATATCATTTAACTGAATTAAACTCTGCACTATGAATGTGATTCACTGTAGATCTGTATCATTATTTCAGCTCTGCGACTACAACTGAGCATTGTTCATATTTTAACATTTGTTTCTTCCTGTGAGTGTTTCATGAAATCCATCTATCTGACTGACTGTGTTTCTGTCTATTTCTCTGTCTATCTTGTTATCTATGTCTTTCTCTGCCTATATCTTACTATTATTTTCTTGCTAAGCGCTCTTTGTGCCCACGTGTAGGTCCATACCAAGTTGTTTAATAGACAGATACTTACCTCTCTAACTAACATCCAATTCCTTAGTAATTGGAGGTTGCAGAATTAGAGTCTGCAGAGTAACGGTGAAGGCTAAACGACTGTGACGAGACCAATCTCGCCACATTGCATTGGAGAAGCCTGGTTGCTCGCCTGCTGCCTTTGGACTATGGTCCCCTTTTAAAAGACTTTATTTTTGCCTGCAGAAAAGCTGTATTCGTGCTTTTCTGCCGGTTATTCGGTAGTTTCAATCTACCGAACAACCGTACGAATGACTGGACCACCTGGGAGCTGGAGTGTGCCGGCAATTAACCTCCCTGAAGCTGCGGTTAACCGCAGCTTAATTGATGAATGCTGGGTGGCCGCCATTCGTATCCCGAACACGAGGTCGCGGCCATTTTAAACCATACGAATGAACAGCGGTGTTCGCCTCTATTTTCATGGAACTAAAATCGGACACAGTTTTGCGCGAACACCGCTGAAGCCGCCGACCTCCCTTCTTGTTCGGTGAAAGTGCACGAACGGCCCGGTGTTCGGTATTTTTGTTCAAATATGTTATACCCCAGATAGGAATCCCATGGAGCCCATTCGTATGAAACTGACTGTAAAGACTTTGGCTCCATGGCGATTAAACTGTATTTGTGTGGTCTGAGTGCCATTCACTTAATAATGTGCACTCAGACCTGAGCTATCTGGGGATATGTTACATGTCTGTGTTTTGTGGAATAAATGTTACTTTGTGTATTTTAAAGTATAATGCTGGTTTTGTGTCCCCACGTGTGTAATGGAGTTTTGCCTTTGTCTTGGGAGATAATTGAGTTACTTCCCAATTATCTCCCAGGGCAGAGGGGAGGAAGCCAAGATGCATTGTGGGAAATACTGTGACTGTGTGTCCTATTTGTCTAATTGTCTGTCCCTTGTCACAGTCTCCCATTTGGTCCCCTAGGGGAGTGTCCACCAGGTGGGAGACCTGCATAAAAGCCGGGCAGGTAGCCCTCATTAAACAGACCACTGCTTGACCCTCAACACGGAGCCTTGTCTCGTCTTTGGGGGGATTTACTGTATGCTGCTAAGGACTGATTGCCAGGAGTGTAAGCCGCTTGGGAGCTTTTCCTGTTCGTCTGCTAGCAGCTATTCGTATGGTTCCTGTTCGTTTATTTGAAATGCTACCTTATTCCCTTGTATGCCGTTCGGGAGTTTGGAGCATTCACTTATTGGCGGTTCGTGAGTTTTGGTGATTCTACAGTAGCTGTGCCTGTCTCTGAAAGGGGGATTATCGTCTAAGCGGTTTTTTCCCCTTTTGTGCAAAACGGTCCGTTACAACGACCATCAAGGAGAGCATTATTTCATTCCGGTGAAGATTCTTACCTTCTTGTGATTGTCAACTGATCCATTGGTTCATCATTGGGTCAGGGGCTGGCTATTATATTAATAAGGATATAAAAAGGAATAAAAGCAGCACACTCACATTTGCCAAACCCAGAAATCTGTGCCTCATCTTTGTGATAATATTCAGATGCTGTTGTCTCGTCGGGGCTGTGTGTTCAAGGAATCACTATTAGTAATGCACTCTCTGTAATACTATAAACCTCATTGTCAGTAATGCTGTAGCGGAGTATAAGAATAAACTGCAATATCTCCACTGGTAGACGTAGTCAGCATACAAATAAAGGGTAGCGTAGTAATTCCAATCCCATTCCCCAACAACTGGACGAAATACAGTTTATGGGAGTCAACTGAACTTTTATTGAACCACAGCCGGTTTTATACAAATCCCCATGCAAGGGGTTTCTATTATGACATTCCAGGGGCTTTCTCCTGGTGGACCTTGTGGAAAAATGGGAGTACAGTAACATTTCCCAGGATCCTTTTCTGTACTGGAGAGATAATTACGCAAGGGCACGATTTTAATTAAATTATCTCTCAGTGCAGAGCTTTACACAATATTTTAAAAACATAATAATTTGCATAATATTTATCAGAACTCCACGATAGGCACTTCACTGAATAGCTAGGATTGGAGCACCCAATCTGTCGAAATATCACTCAGATCTGTTTGGTAGAATAGAAAAGCCATTCAAGTGACGTTTTGGACTGGTCAGCCACGGGGTGAAGTCCCAAAACCGTTCCAGGCAATTGCAGGCTTTGACCAGTCTTATTTTGGGAGTTCATACAATGAACAGACGAATGTACATATCTATAAACGGGGTAGTCATGCGTCTAGATGTCGGTGGTTTCATTTAGGCAAACGCTGCTCTGTTTGGCCGACGGGAGTACATGTACGAACGGGATGGAAGTCCAGCGGTGTTTGCGAGGTCGAGTGGCCGATTTTAGTTCCATGCACTCAACGACTAAACACTCCTGGGCGTTTGTGCATCAAGATGGCCGCCACCACGTGTTCATTCATACGAACGGCGGCCACCCTTAGGAACTTGCGGTTTACAATGTAGCAATTTCGTAATTGGAGACACACGACTCCACTGTGTGGTCTTCCGTTCAGTAGTTTGTTCGACTTCATGAACAGATTGTCCACGTTCTGTTTGTGAAGTCAAACTAGACGTATTAATGTAGTCTTTTCACAATGAAGTGGATAGTTAGAAACATAGAAACATAGAATGTGACGGCAGATAAGAACCATTCGACCCATCTAGTCTTCCCAATTTTCTAAATACTTTCATTAATCCCTAGCCTTACCTTATAGTTAGGATAGCCTTATGCCTATCCCACGCATGCTTAAACTCCTTTACTGTGTAACCTCTCCCACTTCAGCTGGAAGGCTATTCCATGCATCCACTACCCTCTCAGTAAAGTAATACTTCCTGATATTATTTTTAAACCTTTGTCCCTCTAATTTAAGACTATGTCCTCTTGTTGTGGTAGTTTTTCTTCTTTTAAATATAGTCTCCTCCTTTACTGTGTTGATTCCCTTTATATATTTAAATGTTTCTATCATATCCCCCCTGTCTCGTCTTTCCTCCAAGCTATACATGTTAAGATACTTTAACCTTTCCTGGTAAATTTTATTCCCCAATCCATGAACCAGTTTAGTAGCCCTTCTCTGAACCCTCTCTAAGGTATCAATATCCTTCTGAAGATAAGGTCTCCAGTACTGTGTACAATACTCCAAGTGAGGTCACACCAGTGTTTTGTACAATGGCATGAGCACTTCCCTCTTTCTACTGCTAATACCTCTCCCTATACAACCAAGCATTCTGCTAGCATTTCCTGCTGCTTTATTACATTGTCTGCCTACCTTTAAGTCATCAGAAATAATCACCCTTAAACAGGGCCGGACTGGGAATTAAAAGCAGCCCTGGAAAAAAAATATTTACCAGCCCCATAATGCATCGCGCCAGCGTAGTGTGCAGATACAGAGTTAGAACAGATAACAGGGGGCCGGCCGCGTTCCTGTCTGGAGCCGCCGGGCCGGGTGGCAGCTTCCCCGGTCCGGCGGCCATGCACCTCTCACTGCTGTGGCTGATGGAGGAGGAGCATGTCTCTGTACCATGCTCGGAGCATGGTACAGAGACATGCTCCTCCTCCATCAGCCACAGCAGTGAGCAGGGGAGGGCTGGCAGCCTTAGGCCTGGGGGGCAAAACCAGTCAAGTGGCCCATTGCACCACCAAATCAGTTCACCATCCATGCCCACCTTTTCCTGGTTTTATAACGGATATTGATGTTATGCTAATCAGTAGCTCTTTGCCATACCCGCTCCTTCACGGCTCCAGGCACTGCTTGTTGTGAGTGTGAGCCACTGTAAATTAGGGGCAGAGGGCACTTGCACTGCGGTAAAGATGGGGCTGGGCAGGAGGAGAGTGCAGTGCAATCAGTGCACTCCCCTCCTGTGGGTCACCAGTAGACTGGTGCACCTGCCCAGGATCAGAGCCGGTGCAAGGATTTTTGCCGCCCTAGACAAAATAAAAATTTGCTGCCCCCCATGTGACATCACAATGCCCCACCCATATGAACTAACGCCAGTGCTGCACACAGTGTGTGTTTACATTAAAAAGGCTGCAGGGACCAGCTATAGACACCAGAACCACTTCATTAAGCTATAGTGTCTCTTTAATGTGAGGTACATTATAGATTAGTGTCACTAATAATATACTAGATTGCCTACTTACAAGCAGATGAGGATGATGATGGGCTGCAGTTTGGCTCCACTGGTCTGGTGTAGAACAGGATCTCTGGGCTGTTTGCAACTGTGGTCACAAAATTCAATGTTCTGGGAGAATTGGAAGCAGCTCCATTTTGGGGCCCCTTACACAGCTCAAGGTCTGGGCCCCAGGGGCTGACGGTGATATGCCATAAGGCCCACTCATAAGTTCCACCCACCCATGAGTTCGCTCACAGCGAGTGGAGTCATGTAGGGGATGTGTTATGTGTTGTGTAGGATCTAATATGTGTGCTTATGGTATGTGGTGTATAGGGATACCAGTTTGTGCAGGTGATGCAGTGTGTTTGTGTGTAGTGGAAGCAGTGTGTATTTGTGTATAAAGGATTTATTGTGTGTTTCTGGTTGTGTGTAAGGGATGCATTGTGTGAATCTGTGTTTGTATGCATAAGGGATGCAAGGTGTGTGTCTGTAAGTGTGTGCATTGAGTGTGTGTTAGTGATGCATTGTGTTTCTGTGTGTATGTAAGAAAAGCAGTGTGTGTGTAAGTATTTGCATTATGTGTTTCTTTGTATGTGTGCAAAGGATGCATTGTCTTTGTGTGTAAGGGTTGCGTGTGTGTGTGTGTGTGTAATGGATGCATTGTGTGTTTCTCATGTGTGTAGGAAGCATGGCTGTGTTCTGTGTATGTGTATAGGGATGCATTGTGTGTGTGTGTGTGTGTGTGTGTGTGTGTGTCTTGTAGCGTAGTGTGAGGCTCTAATCTTGGCCCCTGTCCCTATAGGGGCTGCCCCTTCTGTCCCGTAGAGCTCTCCCCTGCACCTTTAGTGGTCTCTCCTCTCCCCCACCCTCCCCTAGCGGTCTCTTCTCACACTCACCCACCCTCCCTGTGCTCTTCTCATCCCCCCTCCACCCTCCCTGTGTTCTTCTCACTCCCCCCTCTATGTGTTCTCCTCACACCCCCTGTGTTCGTCTTACCCCCCTCCTCCCTGTGTTCTTCATACTTCCCCCCTTGGTCGTCTTACTCCCCCACCTGTTCTTCTTACTCCCCCACCTGTTCTTCTTACTCCCCCACCTGTTCTTCTTACCCCCCCTTCTTCTTACCCCCTTCTTCTTCCTCTTCCTCCCCCCTCTTCTTCTTACTCCCCCTCTTCTTCTTACTCCCCCTCTTCTTCGCCTCCCCCTCTTTTCTTACTCCCACCCCTTCAATGGCCTAATGCTGCCCCCCCTCCTTCTTGCCTCCGCCCTCCCACTCCTTCTTACTCCGCCCTCCCCTTTTCTTGTTTACCCTCTCCCTCTTCTTACTCCCACCTCTTTCTTACTCCCTCCTCTTCTTCTTCTTGCTCCCCCATCTTTTTCTTACTCCCACCTTCTTCTTCTTACCCCTCTTTCTTATCTCCCTCTTCTTGTTCCCTCCTCCCTCTTCTTGTCCCCCCCCTCCCTCTTCTTATTCCCCTATCCCCTCTTTTTATTTCCTCCCTCCCTCTTTTATTCCCCTCCCCTCCCTGTTTCTTGTTCCCCCCTCCTCTTCTTATCCCCCCCTCCTCTTTTTATTCCCCCTCTTCTCTTTTGTTTCCCCTCCCTCTGTTCCCCTCCTCTTCTTGCCCCCTCCTCCCTCTCTTCTTATCCCCCTACCCTCTTCTTATTCCTCTTCTTCATTCCCTCCTCTTCTTATCCCCCCCTCCTCTTCTTGTTCCGCTTCTTATTTCCCTCCCCTCTTCTTATCAGCTGCCTCTTCTTATCCTCCCCTCCCTCTTTGTTCCCCTCCTCTGTTCCCTCCCTCTTCTTGCCCCCCCCTCCTCCTCAGCACTTGCCCTCCCCCTCCTCTCTTCTTGCCCTCCCCTGTGGTGTGGCCGGGAGCTGCACTCCGGTCCGCGCGGTGGCCCGGCGGTTATGGGAAGGTGCGCACTGAGAGTGTGCACTTCCTGTCAGTCCGGCCGGTTACAGGAAACAGAAACTCCGCGCGGAACAGGAGTTTCTGTTTCCTGTAACCGGCCGGACTGACAGGAAGGTGCACACTGAACGTGCACCTTCCTATCACTCCGGCCGGCCACCGCGGACCGGAGTGCAGCTCGGCCACGCTACAGGGGAAGGGGTAAGAAGAGAGGGGCGAGGGGGGGAATAAGATGAGGGGAGAGGAGAAGCTGCAGCCGCCTGAGGCTCTTAACAGAGCGCTCAGGCGGCTGCAGTATTTAAAGGGCCAGCCCGCCGCGGCCGGTCTTACAGGAATTTAGGGCGGCCTGGGGGGCAATTGCCTCCCTGCCCCCCGGCCCAGCCCGCCCCTGGCAGTGAGAGGAGCAGGGCCGCCGGACCGGGGAGGCTGCCACCCGGCCCGGCGGCTCCAGCCAGGAACGCGGCCGGACCCCAGGTGCCGCGGCCCACCGGGAAATTTCCCGGTATCCCGGTGGGCCAGTCCGGCCCTGTACCTCACTGTCAGCAATGCACTCTCTGTAATGCTATATACCTCACTGTCAGCAATGCACTCTCTGTAATGCTATATACCTTACTGTCAGCAATGCACTCTCTGTAATGTGATATACCTCACTGTCAGCAATGCACTCTCTGTAATGCTATATACCTCACTGTCAGCAATGCACACTTTATAATGCTATATACCTCACTGTCAGCAATGCACTCTCTGTAATACTATATACCTCACTGTCAGTAGTGCACTCTCTGTTATGCTATATACCTCACAGTCAGCAATGCACTCTCTGTAATACTATATACCTCACTGTCAGTAATGCACTCTCTTGTAAACACAACAAGCCAGGAATTGCACACATTAATAAGCAGGATTTTTAGTGTAACTTCATATTATAAGTGAACTGGTCACTTGATTAAGAAATGTGCATATGAATCTACTTTTTAAAATGTATCACAGTCACTCTCTGCGATATAGCTTATTATTAGTACAATATACATTTTATCATCAGCTTTCTTTTGGACTATAAGGGAAGTAGTATGTATTTACATATTAGCAAGAGTACTTTGTTGTATATTGATGGTTGGGAGCTTAATGGGCAGTGTTTGAGTTTGAGATCCAGGGCTGGATAAACATTGATAAAAGAGAAAATTAGATTAAAAAAATATATATTTAACTACTCTTCACTTGCTCTTGCTTAAGTATGGAAACTTAAGATGGATGTAGGGGAACAAAACTTGTGTGGACTGGCTGACATCGAATTTAGTTAAGGTAAAGCTGACTTTGCGCATGCCTCAGTCTTCCTAACACTGCAATGCTAATGTTCTTCCACACTCGCTACATACAACTTAACAGGAGCTTCTGCCTGCTAGTAAGAAGGTAAGGAGAAGAGTGGACCAGCGAATGCTAGGGGACATTCCTTAGAAAGCATGGAGCGAGCACATCATTAGACGCATTTATGCCAAGCTCACGACATCCTGCATCACCGGACCTGCTGTTAGGGGATATGGATTTAATTGAAAGATGAAAGCGAGAGATTTATTATTGGGTATGTGTTTTCTTATAGTTGCATCCTGGAGCCTCCCTCTAGCACCATCTCTGCCAGACAAATGAGGCTTGTGAGGTATAACTATTTTAGTGTATTCTGTCGATAAGATTCTGTAATTAGGCCCACTGGGCTCTTAATCTGGCCCTGTCCAAGACAACGCGGGTATACAATAAAACATGCGCATGTTCACGCATGTAGTGGCATCACATCCGGTACTCAGTAACAGGAATTTAAGGCTTTAGGAGCATATTTAGAAAAAGTAAATGTAACGGACCGTTTTGCACACAAGGGGTAAAAACCGTTTAGGCGATCGTCCCCTTCTCAGAGATGCAGGCACAGCTATTGTAAAACACCAAACTCATGAACCGCCAATAAGGGAATGCTCCAAACTCCCGAACGGCATCCAATATAGCAACCAAACACACGAACTGGAACCATACGAATCACTGCTAGCAGATGAATAGGAAAAGCATCCAAGCGGCTTACACTCATAGCAATCAGTCTCTATCAGCATTCAGTAAATCCCACCAAAGACGAGACAAGGCTCCGTGTTGAGGGTCAAGCAGTGGTCTGTCTGATGAGGGCTACCTGCCCAGTATTTATGCAGGTCTCCCACCTGGTGGACATTCCCCTAAGGGACCAAATGGGAGACTGTGACAAAAGACAGACAAGTAGACAAATAGGACACACAGTCACATTATATTCCCACAATGCATCCTGGCTTCCTCCCCTCTGCCCTGGAGATAATTGAGAAGTAATTCAATTATCTCCCAAGACAAAGGCAAATCGCCATTATGCACGTGGGTATACTAAAACATGAATTAATGTTAAAATACACCATGTAGGACATGTTACATTAAAACTATACATTTAACATATCCCCAGATAGCTCAGGTCTGAGCGCACATTATTAAGCGAATGGCGCTCAGACCACACGAATACAGTGTAATCGCCATGGAGCCACAGTCAGTTCTCATGCGAATGGG